CATTGGCAAAATAGTTTGAGTCATTACTTGCAAATTGTAACTTTTTTCATCTTTACAACACTACTGTAAACAAAAAATTTCAAACACATTTTATTTGTGAAATGAATACAAACAAATACACACAACAGAACAATAAAGATAGTCGTCCACTTCCACACCAGAGTCCATAGAGAAAATCATTGATTTTAGGAATGGACAGGAGCTGATGGTATAACACTGCCTCCTGTGGCAGATTGTGTCACTGAGATGAAACGCGCAGTGACACATTTGTACATAATGATGGAGGCAGCACTGCATCAACTACTGTGTCTCTATAACCTAAAGTGAGTAACTCCCTCTATGGATTACATTTATATCTTAAACCCAAAAACAACATTATTACATCAACATTATTCAACGCTACGATTTTTCTCCGTTTGGTTTCTCATTAGTGCTGCTCCTAGTGCAGCAGCTCAGTCGCCACGAGGTGTAGAGAATAAAGGACCTCATCCATTTAAAACGCAAATATGCACATTTATACGTTTATTGAAGTCGGAGGTTTTAAAACATTTGTTTGTTTTAAAAAATAATAATGAGAAATGACTGAGAATACATGTTTATTTTCTGAAAACTGCAGAAAACTGTATTGATTTTTTTTTCTTCTCCAAAGATTAAGGATTAAAAGGAAACCTATCCAGAATGTACTTTTATCAAATGTCATACAAAATAAAAACATAAAATAAATGGATTTTAGATCATTTTTGATCATTGAACTGTCCGTATCTTTTCCATTTACACACACTACCTAATGGTGCTTACCTGACATGTCTTTCTACCTATAGTACCCAATACCTACCTGATATTGCTCCACATACTTAAAAAAGAAAGTGGGAAATCAACATAAGTAACTAGTACAGTTGAACCTCGAGATACGACTAAGCCTTCGAGCAAATTTTTGCATCGAGATACAAGTAAAGATTTGAGATACGAGCACGCTTACATACGCCGGCGCTAGGTGGCTGAGCAGTCCGTCGACTATCGTACGCATCTCCCGCGAGTTTTCCGTATTGTGTTTGCGTTATCTACGTGATTTATTATTACTATTTTGTGGCTTATTCTCCATAATAGTGATGAGTCCTAAGAAAGTGAGTGGTAAGGATGGTGGTGAGAAGAAGAAACACATGATGGCCATGGAAATACAGCATAGAATTGTCGATAAATATGAGTGGTTTCCGCTAAAAAAATAGAAAAGTAAAAAAATATATATGTAAGTTAAGTTAATTCTAGGTTTATGTTACTAACACAACAACTACAAATACGTGTACCATATTCATACCTATACCTCCAAACATACAGTAACTTCAACCTCCCTATGTACAGTACCCATGCATTTACACTAGGGGTCACCAAAGTGGTGCACAGGGGCACCTGTGTTCTATGTTTTATTGTACTGTTACTGTGGGGTTTTTTTTTTTTAATCATTTACACTTACAATGATATTCAAATGAGTGCGATGGTATTAGATAAGAAGATTGTCTTCTACATTCTATGTCCCAGAACTTATTATTATTACTTTGTTGGGGAAGTTTGTATAAAACAAGTAGCTCTTTTAATACTAAGTGTCCTTGAAGTGGCTCTCGGTGACGGTGACCCGGATCTACAACAAACAACCTGCCTCTGTAAACACGACATTAGGAAACTATATTTCTCCTTACACTCGTGTTAGGAGAAACACATAACATTTATCATATTTAATTTGACAAATTCCGAGCTGTATGGTAATTACAACAAAAATAAATAAATCTTGAGGCGTGAGAATATGGCTAAATGACATGGCTAGCTTAATTATTTAGCATAACAGGATACAAATCCTGCCTACACTTACCGCTATTGCGTCATCTCACGTTCCTTTTCACAGCCAATTGATACGTGACGTAAACGGTGGTTACTGCCTGGCTTCCTCCTCTGTCCTTTGCCAACATAGTCGGAGCTTTTGTGTTGTCGTGAACACATGTCCAGAGTCAGACGACATCTTCACTTCCTTGAGAAAACTCACTGTTTTAAAGCCTGTTTGTGTTTTAAGTTCAGACGCTCGTCTCTTTACATTTCGTCCACAAGACCGTTTCCGGTGGTGTGAATACACTTTTTTACTTTTTCTGCTCAACTTGTTCATACTTTTATCATTATCACAATTACGTTCACCCGGTCCCGTCTCTACATCCGAGGAAAAACTTCAATCCTGACTTGAGTTAAATGCCAAAACAGCGTCATCAGACCTGTCTCCAGAGACTTGTTTGGCGGTTTTGTGGAGTGTGCTGCCACCAAGTGGACGCTTCTGTTAACTGGCATCTATTTACTGTACCAAATACAGTACTTGAATCGTGTGGAAAGAGTCTGTCAGTCAGTTTCATTTGTGTAGCACAATTCACACAAGAAAAAACAAAAAAAGAAAACGCCTACCTGGTGGTTAAAGAAGGTAAATACCGTCTGCTCATTGTGGTAACGGCAGCCACACATCCAACAGGAGTGTAGATACTGAGGCTCTGCGCAAGTTTTCACAAATACACAGCTTTAAACACAGCCTTTTTATATTTATTTATTTTATTTATTTAAACGTCGACTATCGTACGCATCTCCCGCGAGTTTTCCGTATTGTGTTTGCGTTATCTACGTGATTTATTATTACTATTTTGTGGCTTATTCTCCATAATAGTGATGAGTCCTAAGAAAGTGAGTGGTAAGGATGGTGGTGAGAAGAAGAAACACATGATGGCCATGGAAATACAGCATAGAATTGTCGATAAATATGAGTGGTTTCCGCTAAAAAAATAGAAAAGTAAAAAAATATATATGTAAGTTAAGTTAATTCTAGGTTTATGTTACTAACACAACAACTACAAATACGTGTACCATATTCATACCTATACCTCCAAACATACAGTAACTTCAACCTCCCTATGTACAGTACCCATGCATTTACACTAGGGGTCACCAAAGTGGTGCACAGGGGCACCTGTGTTCTATGTTCTATTGTACTGTTACTGTGGGGTTTTTTTTTTTTAAATCATTTACACTTACAATGATATTCAAATGAGTGCGATGGTATTAGATAAGAAGATTGTCTTCTACATTCTATGTCCCAGAACTTATTATTATTACTTTGTTGGGGAAGTTTGTATAAAACAAGTAGCTCTTTTAATACTAAGTGTCCTTGAAGTGGCTCTCGGTGACGGTGACCCGGATCTACAACAAACAACCTGCCTCTGTAAACACGACATTAGGAAACTATATTTCTCCTTACACTCGTGTTAGGAGAAACACATAACATTTATCATATTTAATTTGACAAATTCCGAGCTGTATGATAATTACAACAAAAATAAATAAATCTTGAGGCGTGAGAATATGGCTAAATGACATGGCTAGCTTAATTATTTAGCATAACAGGATACAAATCCTGCCTACACTTACCGCTATTGCGTCATCTCACGTTCCTTTTCACAGCCAATTGATACGTGACGTAAACGGTGGTTACTGCCTGGCTTCCTCCTCTGTCCTTTGCCAACATAGTCGGAGCTTTTGTGTTGTCGTGAACACATGTCCAGAGTCAGACGACATCTTCACTTCCTTGAGAAAACTCACTGTTTTAAAGCCTGTTTGTGTTTTAAGTTCAGACGCTCGTCTCTTTACATTTCGTCCACAAGACCGTTTCCGGTGGTGTGAATACACTTTTTTACTTTTTCTGCTCAACTTGTTCATACTTTTATCATTATCACAATTACGTTCACCCGGTCCCGTCTCTACATCCGAGGAAAAACTTCAATCCTGACTTGAGTTAAATGCCAAAACAGCGTCATCAGACCTGTCTCCAGAGACTTGTTTGGCGGTTTTGTGGAGTGTGCTGCCACCAAGTGGACGCTTCTGTTAACTGGCATCTATTTACTGTACCAAATACAGTACTTGAATCGTGTGGAAAGAGTCTGTCAGTCAGTTTCATTTGTGTAGCACAATTCACACAAGAAAAAACAAAAAAAGAAAACGCCTACCTGTGGTTAAAGAAGGTAAATACCGTCTGCTCATTGTGGTAACGGCAGCCACACATCCAACAGGAGTGTAGATACTGAGGCTCTGCGCAAGTTTTCACAAATACACAGCTTTAAACACAGCCTTTTTATATTTATTTATTTTATTTATTTAAATGACGGGTAAGTTTAAAATTTAACAAACCCTGAGATACTGCTGTATTTGGTTGAATAACTCACGTGTTGAATAAACACAAGTACATTTTTTTCTTTTTTTTACACAAAAGGCTTTACAGTATGACAACAACACAAAAAACAATAAATGTGACCTACAGACGTGAGGAAGGTAAATGCTTATGTTCTTTACAAAGAAGGAAATGTCAAAAGTGTGTCTAAAAAATACTTTTAAACACAGGAGAACAAAGACCTACTGTGTATAATTGAATTGTTTTATATTTTTGTTTGACTACTTTTTTGGTTGTACATGTCAACAATGCTGGCCAAGACCACAACATGGCAGCTGACGTTTTTTTCCTAGGTCATATTTCTTTACTAGATATATTCAAACGTAGCATTCGGCTGCTGTCATTTACAGTTTCTTTTTCAATTTACTGTATGTACTTTTCCAGGTTACTCTAATACAGTGCTTCTCAAACTTTTTATACTCTGTACCACGTGAGAAAACGTTGAGCTCTCTGAGTATCACCATGATGACCAACATTAGAATACAGCAACATAGGCCTTCACTATCAGCTTCCACCACAGGAGAGATGTTTAGAAAGTTGTTTATGTTTAAATGTTGTATTAATAGCACATGGTATGTTTCAAATGTATTCAATTGAAAATGTAAATGTGAAAATATGAATTTGCCCCGCATACCACTAGAGAGCGCTAGCTTACCACTGGTGGTACACATACCACAGTTTGAGAACCACTGCTCTAATACATAGATTGAATACCTTATAAAGTCAACCCTTCAAAATCGTGACATTTCCTAAGTTATTTTGTGTCAATTGTGTTTATTGACTGGACTGGGAAAGATTTATCGCTAAAATGTTCAAAACAAGTGGGAATTCATTCAAGGATGAAAAGAAAATGTACATAAAATTTCCTAAATCTACAGATTAGGGTGTTCAGTTAAAAAAATATGTTTTTACTTTGTTTATATAGAGGACCGTAACAACACTGCCTACATTCACATATCATAAAAATAAAGTAGAAAGTATAAATGTTGGTATTCACCTGATATTTCTTCTCTTTCATCTTAAACGTTCTTTCTTTGATCTCCTTTATATCCTTCTTTGAAAAAAAAGGCAAACAGACAAATAGAGTGACTTCAAACGACATAAACTGACCACACATTGGTTTTTCGTCTAAATACAGTGCAGAGGTTAAAGGTCCTCAGACGTGAGAGGAGGTCATCGTCTCTCAGTAGCCCTTCATGGCGATGGAAGCTGCTCCTGGGTGGTCGTGACGTTTGACCTGATGGATCATCAACAGGGAAACCAGGAGACCCAGAAGCTAAAAACAAGATAGCACTATTAGCGACCAACCAACATTTTATACTTCTATATTTAATCTTCAACTGAATTTACACTTATTTTCATCCTTTGGCTGGGTTTGCTACTTATATATTAAAATATATAATTTCAGTTTTTTTCAGTTTTTTATCTTCACACTGACAGCCGCTGGAGGGCACTGTAGGCTTGTGTACCAGTATCTGCTACGCCGGTACCACTGAAAATTTACATGTTCGTTATTTTCACACTGACAGCCGCTAGAGGGCACTGTAGGCTTGTGTACCAGTATCTGCTACGCCGGTACCACTGAAAATTTACATGTTCGTTATTTTCACACTGACAGCCGCTAGAGGGCACTGTAGCTGGCTGGAGCGACCTGTAGTCATTGACCTGTAGTGCATCAGCTACAGTTAAGTTAAAAAAATATGGAGCGACCTGTAGTCCACAAAATTGTGTGTCATCAGCTACAGTTAAGTTAAAAAAATATATTGCTAATCTAAAATAAAATAATATTGCTATCTCTTATAGCTTGTTTGGCTAATTTTTTAGCAATTCTATCCGAATGTCAACCAAATCCAAAGTATTTCATCTTAATACTTGTTTAATACTTGTTTCTTTTATTATTATTATTATTATTGCTGTTTAACCATGCTAACTCATGGTAAACTATTTGTGCGACAGTTTGTAGTGAAATTACAACATCTGTTATCTTACTGCAGTAACAGCAAATCCGAAGAAAAGGCCAATGGTAACGTTGAAGACCAGATCTGTGATATCTAAGATGTATTTGCCGCAGGGCTGAAAAGAAGGAAACGAAGGAAGGTCATTTTTTAGGTGTAATAAGTATGAGTATAAATTAAACAGTATAAAGAACTGATTGACTGAGTGAATACCTGGTTAATGATCCTGTCTGGGCCTGTGGTTCCCTGTGAGACAAAAAAAGAAAAAGTGAAAACAGATGTGTTAACAGGAAGGTTTTAGTATGAGAGTGTTAAACAATTTACTCCATAGCAGAAGTAGTCACTTGGCTGACCTATAATGTAGGCATCTGAATGTGGGTCCCGAATGATGGCCTGATCTATCGTTAAGCTCTTGGTGCTAAACTGAACTTCACGTTTTGTTTCCGTTGCTGCGTGTGACATAATTTTTTTTTATTGTTTTAATTAAATTCTTGCTGAGATCACTTCAGATCACTGAGAACATATCAAGCTCATTTGGTTTTGCCTGCTGGATTAGAACAGAGGTTCCCAAAGTGGGGGTGCGCCCCCTAGGGTGTCGCAGTGCCATTGCAGATGGAATGGATTAATGAAGTGTAACGCAGTACATTGACCAACACTGTAAATGTTTAACAAGAGACTGGCAAAAAATGCCAACTGACTAAAATTGGCAATGCTAGCATAAAATGGACAAGTTTAAGGTAGGTAAAAAGTTACATTTAAAATGTGTGAAATAAATTAGTCTGAAAACAATATGTGTCCTTTTTTTGGGGGGGGGGAGGGGGGGGGCAATAATATGTTTCTCATGAACCAAAGGCGGGCCCAGCAGAAAAAGTTTGGGAACCACTGGGTTAGTATATAGTTGTGGTATGTTTTGATAAAAGTTTAGCTACTTTGGGTAACGTTAACGATAGGTGTAATAATGTTAAGGTTACCGTAGATTTGTCTCAAATGCCAACACTTTTGGTCAATACTTCACTGTAGCTGCACAAAACTCACATCAGGTCTGTCAATACATCGGCCGTATTCATAGAGGGAGGACCGACACTGACAGGAGTCTGGAATATCCTCACCCCAGTCGGAGACGCCGGTCAATCCACAGCATTGTGCCTTAAAAGTAAGACATAAACATTTGGGGTTTTTATTTTCTTGACTATTTAAGATAACAGTTTTGAATGCAGCAGTACACAAACATTACATTTAGCTGAAATTCATCCAATAGATGTCTGATCTCTGGTTCCTTAAGGTAAGGCTGGAACAATTCAGCAGAGCTGCTGGTAAATACGTCTCTGATCTGCAAAAAAAAAAAAAATATTGGCAAAAAGATATTTTAGAAGTGTTAGATTAAGAAAAATTAACAAGAACAGGGAGAGATGGAAATCAATGATTTGCTGTGGCAACCCCTGAAAAAAAAAAAAAAAAAAGGGGACAAAGCCGAAAGAAAAAGAAGAAGAAGATTAAGAAAAATTAAGATTAGAAAAAAATGTTAGCGCCAAAGCTAGACGGCGACTTTGACCTTGTTTCTCATAACGACACAGATAATTCCAAAGATCAGCATGACGATCATCCCAACCACCATGAATCCGGCAAACTGTAAAAATAAAGAAAAAAAACAAAGTCGTTGTTTACTCACACCTCACTTTGAGTACTGATTTTAAAATGTCAGTTAAGTTTACGGACTATCTTCAGGGCCAAGGCTTTCTCAGAGCAGGCAGCAAAGATTCCCAGGCAGGAGATTCCAAAGACACCAATGGCAAACAACCACATCCAAACGGAGCTAGGACTCCCAACTGCTGACAGCTGCGAGAAAAAGAAAACCAAAAAAAAATACACATTTGATTATTTTAGATGATTACGTGTTTCGTTTTCAACAATTCTGAAGAACATAAAGTAATCAACTGTCGGGAAACAATAACAGACCGGAAGGGTATGTTAATGGACCACCTAGCATCTACAGTATATAGCAAAATAGCATCGACAGCAATTGTCTTGTTTCGGTTACGTCTTATTGGGGAACGAGGGCGGGGCCAATGTTTTAATGATTCGTCTTGTGACAAACAATAAATTACTTTTCAACTAGGTGGCAGCAGATGACTATAAATCCTAAAAGTTTGAAGGAAGTTCTTCGGAAGTGTCTTTCTTCAAGTCCTGTGACCAGCATTTTGTTCAATTACAAGTCTGAAACCTCAGGCGGTTGCGTGACTGGACCAGGGTGAGACGATATGGTCAGCCCCGCCCCCTCTGTAACCGTTCACCCCAGTAACCCTGCGCAATGCCACACGATAACAACAATGGCAAAGACCATGCTACTTCAGACCGCGCTGCAGACGCTAACTCGGCTACTTGGTGTGCTACAGTTAGCCATTTTGCGCTTTCCGTGCTTCTCTTTCGATCTGGAGTTTTCAAGCGTTATACACATGCTTTCTGGCTCTTTTTTTTTTTTCATTTTTCCAAACTTACAGTCTAAATTCTTTTGGTGTTAGAGCAGCGTTGACATAACGCCACATGCAGGCCTAGCATATGTACTACAGGGATAAGAGTCGAATTCGGGGATCTATTTTAACGCTGAATTGTCTTGCGCCTGATCCATGTACGTAAATGCTACGTATCCGAAGGCTCTGTAGCGATATCATATCGCAGCCACATGGAAGGGGCACACTGATATTTGAAAATGCCACAAAACTCCAGAACACAGACGTGCCTGTGTAGCCAAGTTGTTGAAGAGTTACCTGGATGGACTTATGGTCAGCAAGTCGTGCGGCACGGGGCTAGCCCTCACCCGGCTAATATCAGAAAAAACTGGTTAAAACTATGACTAAGAAATACTCACATGATTGTTTTATAATTGTTACACAGCAACACTATTGGAACTGTTGTGAGTCCTGAGGTTGTGTTGAGGTTGTCCATAAAAAATCTCCCAGATTGTCCCAGATTCTTTTCATAATTTCTTTTTTTAGAATGTCCTCCCAAATAAAACTACATGGATGGAAAGATTCTGGAATGTCCTTCGTTTGTTGGTTCTAAACCTTGTTAGCACATTCCAAAGTAAGGCATCCATGACATTCCATAGGACAGAAAATGGAGTTTATGAAGCACTCCTTTTCATTTTCAGGAATGCTGGGAGAGATTATCGCGGATATTTCGTGTGAGAATAGAACCAGGAATGGAAATTTTTTTTTAAAAAAAGGCCCTGCTTTCGGAGAACTATTTTATTAAAAAAAAAAATGAAATTAGTTGAAGATGGTTCTTGTTTTACTGTTCCTGAAGCGTAAACTCTTTTGATCCAGTACAGTTTACAGGTGCAGTTCTCACTGCACTTTGCACTGGGAAAACAGTGACACATGTCATTCTTGTAACACCTTCGTGCTACGCTGTGTGTACGGGTGAGTTAAATCCTCTCGGATCCCTTCTCCGATCTCATCTCGAACGTCATCTGATTGTCGGCTCATTCATTGGCTGCGACAAGTAAAGACTATGGGACTTTTTTTTCATGTATGAAATCATTTCACCCCCAGGGACAAACAGAGGCTTGAGTTTCAGCCTGTTACCAGGCTTGGCCTCGTGGGAGTCGCACAATGTGGAATGTGTACTGGAGAAAATATGAAACCTGTACTAAAAGAAGGGCAGAGTGGAGACGATTAGTGTTTACACTGCTCTGTCATGTCGAGAACAGGTTTTTGGAGGAATGGTGTTGGGTTTTTACTGATCAGTTTGAGCTGAGAAACAAAACAGAAGATCCTGAAAGGAGCCCTGGCTATCTTTTAGAAGGCGCTAAAAAGTAAACATCAAAATCAAGGCGGTTCTGCTCTTTAAACCTCTTTCTGTATAACAGAGGTTCCCAAAGTGGGGGGTGCACCCCCTGGGGAGCGAAATGCCATTGCAAACAGGGTGGGGTGGAATGAATTAATGAAACGTAACGCTCTGATCAAGGTGCTCAACCAAACACTTGTGTTATTGTTTGAAGTTTTTGTAAAAAAAAATGTTGCTTAAATATATATTAATTAGCGTTTTATCATTGAGACCATTTCAAGCTAATTTGGTTTTGCCTGTAGAGTTAGTACAGAGGTTCCCGCAGTACCATTCCAGTTGGGGGGGGCGGGGGGGGGGTATTCTAAATTCTCGCTCTTGTTTTCGCCTGTTTGATCCGCTTGAAGCAGCAGTAGCAGCCCATCGCAGTGCAGCTCCCTCCCCTCACAAAATCTCACTCCTGGTAATGCTATGCAAAGCTAGCCTAAAATGGACACGTTTTCGACGGAACTCCCACATAAATGCAAAGCAGAGGTTAAAGCATCAGTGTGTGTTTCTTGTTTTGTTTTTGTTTTTTTGGGGGGGTGGGGCGAGTGAAAATGTTCTTATGGACCAAAGTGGGGCCCAGCGGAGAAAGATTGGGAACCACTGCTGTAAACACTGCAAACGGACTACGTTCAACTGCAGAATCCAGTCGTCTCACAAATCCACTTTGTTTGAACTAGACCCTGAGAAGACGTCTTCATGGAACAACTCCACAAACTGTGTAACTGTGTAGTTGCGTGAGGGTCTTGGCCATAAAAAGAGCTGCTCCTGGGTCTGTTCCTTCTTAAATATCCTCCACATCTGACTTCACTTTCATTCCTTTGTTGCACGTCTAGGATTACATTAAAACTGCTGCTCCTTGTTGCCAAGAGAAATCCTCCCACTCAGTAACAAGGCTGCCTGGAAATGACTGTTTTGGCTAATTGACACTGACAGAAGACTGGAGCAGCTGACTGGCTCCATGAACTGTTACTATAATGTACTGTACTATCCATCCATCCATCATCCATCCACCCATCCATCCATCCATCCACCCATCCATCCATCCATCATCCATCTCCCCATCCATCCATCTATCCATCCATCCACCATCCACCCATCCGTCCATCCACCCATCCATCCATCCATCATCCATCCATCATCCATCCATCCATCCATCCCCCCATCCATCCATCCACCCATCCATCATCCATCCATCATCCATCCATCATCCATCCATCCATCATCCATCCACCCATCCATCCATCTATCTATCCATCCACCCATACATCCACCCATCCATCCATCCATCCATCTATCTATCTATCCACCCATCCATCCATCCATCATCCATCCACCCATCCATCCATCTATCCATCCATCCATCTATCCATCTATCCATCCATCCATCTATCCATCCATCATCCATCTACCCCTCCATCCACCGATCCATCCACCCATCATCCATCCATCCATCCACCCATCCACCACCCCCTCACCCCCCCCCCCCCCCCCATCCACCCCCCCACCCATCCACCCACCCATCCCCCCATCCATCCATCCCCCCCCCATCCCCCCATCCATCCATCCCCCCACCCACCCATCCATCCATCATCCATTATCCTCCATCCACCATCCATCCATCCATCCCCCCCCCATCCCCCCATCCATCCATCCATCCACCCACCCATCCCCCCACCACCCATCCATCCATATATCTATCCATCCATCATCTATCCATCCATCTATCCATCTATCCATCCATCCCTCTATCCATCCATCCATCATCCATTATCCTCCATCCACCATCCACCCACCCACCCATCCACCCATCCATCCCTCCATCCCCCATCCCCCCCCCCCCCCACCTTCCAACCACCCACCCATCCCCCCACCACCCATCCATCCATCTATCTATCTATCCACCCATACATCCAGCCATCCATCCATCCATCTATCCATCGACCACCCATCCATCCATCATCCATCTATCCATCCACCCATACATCCATCCATCCATCCCTCCATCCCCCATCCCCCCCCCCCCCCACCTTCCAACCACCCACCCATCCCCCCATCCATCCATCCCCCCCCCATCCCCCCATCCATCATCCATCCGTCCATCCACCCACCCCTCCATCCATCCCCCCATCCATCCATCCCCCCACCCACCCATCCATCCACCCATCCATCATCCATCCATCCATCCCCCCCCCATCCCCCCATCCATCCCTCCATCCCCCATCCCCCCCCCCCCCCACCTTCCAACCACCCACCCATCCCCCCATCCATCATCCATCCACCCATCCACCCATCCATCATCCATCCATCCATCATCCATCATCCATCCATCTTCATCTTCTTTATTCAGTGAACAGGGACTTATTTATGTCAAAGTCCTTTAGAAGAAAAGACACAGCAGGTTTTGTCATAGTACCTGGTTGCTGTAGGCTGTCATCTTCACCGCACTATAGATCAGCACACATCCCAAAATCTGTGAACAAGAATATACACAGTTTAGTCATTAAACGCCTGAACCATAACGGTATTAATGTTAAATATATATATGTAAATATACACTTATAAATATACACACATGAGCATATATGTATATATATTCATACATATATAAATATAAAATATATATTCTATAAATATAAACTTATATGTATATTTATAAGTATATATACATATCTATACATAGAAAAAAATCATATATGAATATATTATAATTTGATTTAATTTTGAAAATATTTTAATGATGCAGCTCAAACTATCTTATCTTTATTGACTCTACACTAGAGAATCTTTTTTTTTCAATATATTAAGAAGACATTTACTACTGATTTTCGAATTTATTTAAGCTCCGGAGTATGTGGTCGATTTTCTACGTAAGAAAAAGAACATTTGTTTGAAGCGATTACAACACATTTAATTTTTTTTTTTTTTTTTTTTTTTTGTCCTTCGGGTATTTGTCGTTTTCATATTATACCACTAGAGGTCGACAGACTATAAACGAAAATAAAAAAAAGGGAGGCAAACCACGAACATTAACCACTGACTTCAAACACAACGTTATCTCCCCCGCGCTGTCTCACTGCATGTCGAAACCGTCAAATATATATATTTTCATACTTTTATATCGTTGTATGTATATATTTTTTATAGTGCATTCCTACTGTCCGTCCCAGTTACTGCAACACAATAATTTAATCTATTCTACTCTAATCTAATCAATTCTAACCTAATTTTACTGACAGGTAATTGTTCTTTTGGAAAATTTCCCCACAGAGATTGTACTTTCTTTTTTTTTTTAATATCACTTACGTACTATTTGTGACAAATACCGATTCTGAACGACATAAAATTACATTTTTATGTTGTTTTTTTTGTTTTGTTTTGTTTGTTTTTTAAATAAACACAGGTCAGAACATGAGGAGTGAAAGGGGGGCAGTGGGCTCGCAGAGTTCTGGGAAGAGGGCGGCGTTAAACACAAATGTGGTCACCGCCACTACCTTTTTACTAACTGTGAATGTAACCGCATTTAAATAGAAAAAAAAAAACAGGTTACCGAAAGCAAAACCTTTCTGTCATATCTTTTTCAACTCCATCTGACTCTAGTCTAGTACTTGATAGTACTTTTTTTTTAATTAAATGAGCCTTCATATGTTCTGATTTTAAATATATGAACATAATAAATATTATATTTCATCTTCGGTTGTTCTTGTTTTTAAAAAGAAAATCATTGTTTTCTTTGGTTTTCAGCTAAATCCATATTTTCTATGCCTGCCCCGCCCTTTTTTACCGCCATGTTACGTAACGCAATAACAATATAATATAATAATAATGACAAAAACATTACCTTTACAATTTTCACGATTACGTTTTTTGGTTCATATATATTTATTTACAAAGCATTATAATAAAATGATAACGTGTCAAAACACACCACGAGAACACGTTCAAAGCAAAACTTTCGCTTTTCCCAGAACTTTCCGTCTCGTTCCGCACTTATTTCCCCACTACCTAACAGTTCGCTAAAGAAAAATGATGGAAACTTCGAACTGAACCGAATTTAATTTAATCTAAAAGAAAAAAAAAACGTCACAGAGTAGAAATAGATTTTTTTTCTTACTGCAAATATGACGTTGAAGAAGATGAAGAGACATTTGAGGCATCCGTTAATTTTTCCCATCTTCACGGTTTTCACAGGCGTTCCTCTGTTCAGACGGAGAAGCAGATTGCGTGTGGTGTGTGTTTGCGTGTGTGAGTGTGTCTAATATACTGCAGACCCCAAACGAACATAGAGCTGTGACGAATAGATCTGCTCTGCAGAAGGAGAGAAACAGAACAGGAATCAGACAGACAGATATATTCCT